CCTATCATTGTATAGCAATTATGGTTAGAGAGTTAAAAGCCTTATCAGCTCCTTAGTGGGAGATGTGTGAGTCAGCTCCTTGCAGGACTAAGAGGTGGTTCAATGAAGTCATGACTTCTTTTTTTTTTTTTTGCATGGAGGTTTCTTTAAATTCAAAACATAGGCCACAGAACTGGAAAGAGCCATGTAGGCATTCAATCTGCATTTAAAAATTTAAAAAGAATAGAGGCAGAGCTAGATGTGCCAGCCTCATGCCATCCTCCCAAGCTGAGGGACCTACAGCAGACAGACATGCAGCTCTGGCGTGATGGGTATGATTGGCATTCAGAAATTATCCCCTTTGTGACCCTGGGACATGCTATCAAAAATGGGTGGGAGGCTTCAAAACTGCAGCTGGCTTCAGTCAGCACAAAACTTTGGGTTTCAGCATCACACAGTATATTGGAAGACCTTGTCCTGCCTCTCCCTCCTTTGCATGCAGCAGGTCCTGCAGCTCCTGGTTGTTACCACCCATACCCTGGGTGTGGGTCACAGAGTGGGAGCATAGGCAGGGGCACTGCCTAGGTGGGAAGATGACCCCATTTGGGCCCTGTGATGTGCCCCATCGTGTGGCTGTGCACTGAGCTAGCTGTCCGTTTGCCGGGTATGAAGATATCTGAGAGGCCTGGAGGTGGCTCCGGAAATCACAGGGACAAGAGCAGGGTGGAGCAGGAGCACAGGATGGTCCCTGAGAAAAAGTGTGACAACTTTGCAGCTTTCCAGTGTTCCTGGAGATTGAGGCTTTGTAACCCAGGTATCAGGATGACGTGATTAGCAGGATTTCTTGATTTTCTTTCTTCTTCCTTTTGTGTATGCAGGGGCAAAGTGTGAAAATGTAAATGCTGAAATTTTAAATATAAATTAAAAATAAGCTTCAGATATGCTGTGCATTTTAACTCAAGCTTTTTAACTAGCTTCATTGCAGGGGATGTTGCAGTAAGCCTAGCTTGTGACTTTTTTGGTCGCCTTGGGGTTGGCAATATTGCAGGTTTCTCAGGTCAAACAAGAAGAGATCTTGTTGGACAAGAAGAGCACAAGGGAAAAGCAAGACATCCTCTTGGAAGTGCCAGTGTTTTCTGAATTGCAAAACCTCATCCTGTGGTGTTCATCTCGCCGGAACAGTTATCCAGATAACTTGCTGTTTTAAGTGCGTGGCCCAGCATCCTGTCTAGCTGGGGCTGTACTGATCTCCCAACAGTAGCAGCAGTAGTAGCACAGACCTGCCATGGGTAAGCCAAGGTCTCCTGCTTCCCTCCCGAAGTGGCAGGAATGGCTCTGCCCTCTGTATATCATTCCTTCCCCCTGGTGTTCTTCTCTGCCTTTGATGTGCAGCAAAGCAGTGGGTCACCGCTGGCCACACAGCCACCTTCCATTCTTCTCAACAGATGTGCTTCTCCAGACGTGCTCTGCTCTTCCCTTACAGAGGTGTACATGTATCATTTCTCTGTGGGGGCTGACATGGCTGGACAGGATTGCAGAGCTCATGAAAACTGGCACATTTCTGAATGCAATTGTTCTATTGTCTGCCATTTGATGTCTTCAGTTTTTCACCTTTTGATTCACCAAGCTGTGATGTCGCCTTGTTCTTTGGGAAGAAGTCTCTCTATCAACACTAGATCAAAAGGAACCAGTTAGGGTGAAAAGTTCATTCTGCCTGCTCTGAGCCTATACATGTGTGAGAGACAACATGCTGCACCAATTTTTCATCTTCTTTAAGGTCTTTTTCTCTCTGTTTTTCAAAAGAAAGGTTTAGAAGTGAAGAAGAAATTTTGAGAGCGTCAAGATGTGCATTTGGATGACATCAGCTGCGTCTTCTTTGAGAGCTATTTATGCATTAGTCTACAGTTGCTCAGCATTGGTAGTTACTGGACTAATTGATCTTGGAGGTCTTTTCTAACCTTAATGATTCTATAATAAGTAATCCTGGGTCTGGATGGATCTAAAGAAACAGGTTCTCCAGCCCTGAAGGTCAACCATTGAGACGACCATAAGTTGCTTTTATCCAATTACTGGTTTTAACAGTCAGTGCTTCCTTTTTATGTTATAAGATGATGGTGCTAAGATTTTTCATGTGGTCCAGACACTTGTTTCCTATCAACTTCAGACTTGCTGGATCATGCCCATGTGCATGCTGATGCTCAGCTGTGGCCAAATGCTAGCCACTATGACCCAGACAGCTGGCAGGTATAATACCACAGAGACTGAGATCAGCAAGGGGAAACAAAGCAAGCAGGGCTGTCAGATCCCTTCCAATCCAAACCATTCTGTGATTCTGATCTGGAAGTGATCCATCAGAATTGGTTGACATTTTGGTCTAAAAAATACCCCAAACTCCACAATTCTGCCCTCAAGAGACCCTCACATTTTAAGGATGTGGGTTTTAACCAGTGTTGTTGTCTGTCGCTACAACCATTGCCCAACCTCACCCTGAATCATAGAATCATAGAATCAACCGGGTTGGAAAAGACCTCAAAGATCATCGAGTCCAACCCTACAATCGTTATTAGACCATGGCACTAAGTGGCACAACGATCAATGACACACCCCCTGTCCCCTGCAGCACCAGTCTCCCTTGGATGCTCTCCAGGCCGTGGAATAGCATTCCATCAAGGCCGTGGAATAGCATGCCTGCCAGCTCTCACGAGAGGCAGGAGCCGGGCTGGAAATGCCTGTTGCCTTTCAGTGACAACCACACTAGTGCTTGCTTTGTTGCATACTGATGAATGCTAATTGGCCTCAGCTTGTTATCAACATTGTGTGGGAGTTGTTTGCAGAATGGTGGGGTGAGGGTTGAGGGGGAACCCCAAGGGGCCTCCTGAGTGGATTAGGGCCGAACTGATGCTCATTGTGGAAACATCTCCATTTGTGAGCCACAGGAGGGCTGTGCCTGCTGGCCTCATGCCAGTCTTGGTAGTGGTCCACCTGCCAGGTGGATTCCCTCTCTGCCATGGCAGAATGTTACGAGGAATTACAAGGGTTGTAGGGAGACCCCCTGTCTTTCTTTAAACCCACCTGGGGGCATGGGGAGGAGTCGAGCCCTTTAGAGGCTGAGCACTGCTCACTGCTCACTTCTTGGCATCAAAGGTTCAGTGCCCCTCTCCTACCCCCATGCCCAGACATGGCACACAGCCCCTCCACACTATCCATTGTTTGCTTTGAACTGTTCAGCTGTAGCCTGTGTCCTCCTCTCCACTGTCCTTCTCCAGCTGCAATCCTGGCATTCACTGCAGCAGCTAGATATCTCCTGCAGCCATAACTCTTGTCAAGTCACTCAGCCTGAGCTATGGAGGGCATGAAAACCCCCAGAGGGTGATCCTGCTGTAGGTGAAACTCCACTACAGTTTGCTACAAGCTACAGAGAGGGAGGTTTGATGGAGCTGACTGGCATCAGTCCTCTTGAAAAACACCTCTACTGTGAGTGTAAAATTGTAACTCTGGCTAGTGTGTGATACTGTTTATAGGATGCAGTGAGCTGATCTCATGCTGGGGGCAGTTCTGGCACAGGCAGGATACTGACTGGACCCTCGGTACACTGGGGCTTCTGCCAGTGGGAGAGGTGGGGTTGTTGCTTCAGAGGTGGCTCTGCTAATTTTGGACAAGTAGCCTGCTCATAAGCAACTTCTCTAAAGCTGAAAAATCAGTTCAACCTGAGAGCAACACCTGTAGCTTTTCTGGCATTTGAATCCTGATTATGCCTCATGACAAACATCAAGTTTCAGACCAGGTTCTGGCAACCATGCTTCTTTTTAATGTATTCTTTCTTTGCTCACATAACGTCAGGAGTTTTTCAAAAAAAGGGACTTGTTAGGAGAGGGGATCAAAGTGTTGGGAGTAGTGACAGGGAAAGATGGAGCACTAGCCAGGCACAGTGGACGCTCGGCCAGGGAGCAGCCCTAAGGAGCATGCTAAGGATAATTTTTTTTCCTCCCACCTGTTGTTAGGAGCAAATCAGGAGAAAGCTATTGCTCTGCCTCTCCAGCTGCTAACTACGGGAGACTTGCTTATGGTCATGCGCTGGAAGCTAATTAAAACCAGTGACAATGGTAATTGAGTAAGGATGCTTGAGGATAAGTATGACCTCATGTCTAAAATGGTAATGAGGCCTATTAAAATCTACACCAAAAAGAGAAATGAAAGGGGGAACAGAGGCAAAGGTGGTGCAAAGGGAGCAGGAGCAGGCGAGGACAATACCTGGCAGCCAGAGCCAGAGCACTGGGAGGGATGGGGAGCACAGAGGTGTCAAGCTTCTAAATCTCCTTAATAAACATCCAGCTCTTAGCTAGCCAGGCTGCTTGGGCAGAGTCAGCCAAAACACTTCAGTTCAAGTGCCGTCCCCCACTGCTCTCCCAGGCCTGGGCATAGGTTCCATTAAGCAACGGCAGCACTTGTTGCTGTTTTGTTGTTGTCTCTACTCCCTAGTTCTTTGCTGGAAGAAGGGGACACACCAGGGAACTGGCAGTGGCTGCTGGCATGAGTAGGGTACCTGCAAAGATGTACTGTAAAATTGCACTGGTGCAGGAAAATGCTTTGGCAGAAGAAAGCTGTGGCGAGTTTGGGGTGCCACGCTCCAGGTCCAATCAGCACAGCACCTGGTTTTGGCTCCACAGCTGGGCTATAGGGGCTGGGACCCCCCGTGACCTCAACATGTGTTGGGTTTGCAGGGTGGCATAGCAGTGCTCGGGATGCCACTGTGCTCCGTGGGAACCCAGGTTCTGTGCTGACTCACCTGGCGGCAGAGGACACCCCAAGCAGCACTGGGAGGTGGGCGCTCCCTGTCCTGGCTCTGGATGTGCACTGCATCAGTTTGGGTAAGCTCAGCCCTGGTGTGCTGTACCCCTCCACTACACCCTACTGATGGGGAGATATGGTGTATGCCAAAGGTTTCTTCTCACTGGAGAAAACCAACGCTTGTCCTTCCAGTAGGGGTGAAGGTACGGCTGGATGACGGCTGAGGATGTGCTATGGAGCCGGGATTCAACTGCTCTGAGCTCTGCGATGGCAGGTCCAGTGTTGGCAGCCAGGAGCAGCAGCGCACACTGCAGGAGCTCTGCACTGTAACAGTGGTATGTACGGAGGCAGGGGAGCACTCTGGGACATGAGGTTTGCCCTGCAGAGGTGGATTTGGGTGGGGGGATGGAGAGGGGGACGCAGCTGCCAAGCAATCCCAGTCCAACTGAAGGCAGCCAGCTGTCACCTCCTGGTTGGCCTCCAAGATAAGCCCAGTCTACGTGACACCCAGCAGTTACCCAGAAGGTGGGGAAGCATCCACAACAGCCAAGTCATGTCAAGCAGCTCTTCCATGTGTTGGCCAGTGTGACAAGTACTTAGGATTGGCCTGAGATGGCTTCATCTGCCCTTGACCATTCCTGTCCCCTGGAACTTCAAAGTGCTTTTCAAATATGAATAGAGCAGGATTTAATTAAAAATTATCATCTATAATAAATGGTACCTCCCTCCCACACCAGGAAGCTAGTAGAAATGACACTGGGATGCACTCAGTTGCAGTTGGCACCACATGAGGCTGCTGGATAGGCTGGCAAGGCTTGGCCTGCTCAGCTCTCCATCACGTCCTGCATGACCATGGGCCTTTAATTAGAAGACTGTAAGCTGCTTGGCTCCTCTGGCTCTGGCAGCTACCTTACAATTAATATTCCCCCTGCTAGGACCAGGATTTACTCTGCTCAGCAGCAAACAAAGCGCTCCATCAACTTCAAGTAGCATCAACATCCAGAGAAACACTGGTTGGGCGGGAGGGCATCTGTTCCAAAAGGAAAGGTGGAGACCACAGGGGTGTTTCTGATCCCTGCGTGGTTGCTGGGAAGACGGTGCAGCCAGAGGTGAAAAGATTTTGCTGGTGGGTGCGTCTGGGAGTGAAGGGTGGACACCCCAGAATGCTGAATCCACCTTGCTCACCCTTCTGGCAAAAGCCAGGTGTTATCCTTGAGCTCAGCCAGGCAGGACACAGAAAATGATGGCATTATGGCCTTGTACCAGCCCCATCAGCTCCAGTCAGGTGGGAAGATGGACCTGATTAGTGCTGAATGATGGGGTGTTTGCACAGCAAGTCCTGGTATAAGGGGAGGGGGGCTGACCATCTCCAATATCTAGTGCAGTCTTCATTTCCCAGAGAGCTGAAAGACTCCCCAGGGCATAGAGAGAGGGAAGAGAAGGTGGGAGGCAGTTTGCAGGAAGGATATGAGTATTCCCCCAGGGATGCCTCCACTCTGCTGCAAAGTGAGGCTGAGATGGGCATGCAGCTGTACCCCAGCATACTGCTGCAGCAGCTCTTGACTGGATGTCTCTCCCAGCCAGGGGTTTGCCTTACCCAGTCACCCTGTGACCAGCACCAGTACATGAGCTGCCAGGAGCCCACGGATCAGCCGTGCTTGTGTGGCAGTGACGTGGTTTTGTTTTAAGAATTATGTGTTGGCTTTAATTCCCCAAGCGGTGCCTTGTTATTGCTCACCCACAGGAGATGAAGCCTGACTGGGAAAGAGGGAGATGAGGCATTGGCTTCAGACAACTGCCTTACTTCTCCCTGAAGATTTATTTCTAGCAAGGCTGGAAGCAGAAACAGCTCAGACCTTGTTGGGAAAATTGGGAGTTTAGGGCTGTGGCAACTGTCAGGAAAAGTCTTCTGCCATAGAAATTGCATGCAGACTAACTGGAATACCTGAGAAAGGATGTAACACCAGAAGAGATAGTGAGGAGGTGTGTGATCCAAGTTCAAATCCCATTCTCCTCACCTCCTTCAAGGGGATGTGCCAGCACTTAAGTAAAAGTGATGCTTTTTTTTTACAGAACACAGAAAATGTCAGTAACATGCACGCATAGTAAGTGTGAATGAATCCACACATGCACACCCTGTTAAAAATGCTGGAGTATTTTAGATCCGCAGCGGAAACAGGTTTCTTGTTTCATGTAGGATCATTTTATCTATCTTATGTTAGTAAGGAGATAGCATATTTTTAATTGGAGATTTAAACCCATAAAGTCAATTGTGTGCAAGGAGAGAGGTGTCTCCCTCATACCCACTTTGGGAGTGTCCCTCAAAAGCCAGTCCTCAGCTGATGTCTACCTGGGACCAGGTTAGTTTCCAGCCAGCTAGGAGACGGGTGGAGCCCAGCTTGGTGTGTCACTGTGTAATGCCTCTGAAAAACGCTGTCACACTCCTTTTTCTGTGTTTTCTGCATGGACTGGCAGCTCTGCTGCTGGCTCCCAGTCACAGCAGCTGACTGGCCAGTTATCTGCTGCATAGAGGGGTAAGGGTGGGAGTCCAGGATGCCCTACCTAAATTCCCAAAGAAGCATGCTATGAACTAGGGTACCATGAGGCCTTTCTCCTGTGGTTTCTTTCAGAGAAGGACACTGGGGACCTATTGCCCATGTTCTCCTCTCCCACAGCCAGGGCTGCCTGAGGTTTATGAGTCACTTGTACAGCTTCATTGCATGTTTGACTAGTTGGCCATAAGAAGAGGGCTCCTGGACTGCCCTCTCCTCCTCTGCACTCAGCAAGTGGCAGAGTACGTGTCCTGTCTACACACATCTCCCAAGCCCTGCCTGTGGGTCTTGGTCTCATGCCAGGGTGGCTGCTTATGAGGAGATGTGGTTTCTGGCTGAGCAGGAGCACCTGTGGGAGTGATCATGCTAAAACAGGGACCTTCTTCACTGGGAGCTCCAGCAACATCCTCTTCTTTCTCATCCCTTTTGCCTCCCACAGACCTCTTTTGACCACAGTGGGAAGAGCTCCCCATCCTTCTCTGTTGGTCTCCTGGGAGTTGTGTGGACATTCCTGACTGGAGGAGTCCTGCTAGCACTCTTCTTTCTCATCTTCACAATTCGCTTCAGGAAAAACAGGTAAGAGCTTCCTTCTTCTTCTGTGAGAGCTCCTCTGAGCTGGAGCAGTGGAGTCAGGCTCCTTCAGGACTAGGCTCTCACCTAAGGTTCAGGAGGGTACAAACCTGAAGAAACAGCACAGGACAAGCAAGGATGTTGCATGACAAGCAAGTGTTGATGACTGGTGGAGACAGTTCTGTTTGGACTGCTCCCTTCCTCCCAAAGGCTGTGAACAGGACAAGAGGAAATGGCCTCAAGCTGCATCAGGAGAGGTTCAGGTTGGACATCAGAAAGAATTTTTTCACTGAAAGGGTTGTCAAGCATTGGAATGTGTTGCTCAGGGAAGCGGTGGGGTAACCATCCCTGGAAGTGTTCAAGAAACACCTAGACATGGCATTTAGTGCCATGGTTTAGTTTACATGGTGGTGTTTGATCAAATGTTGAACTCCATGATCTTGGAGGTGTTTTCCAACCTTAATAATTCTGTGATTATATGGATGCCCTCCAGAATGGCACAAACAATAGTGCATGGTCTCAACCTGAAGATGCTAGTCAATAAAACCATCAACAGGAGTGAAGCAGAAAGAGAGCTGGTTTCCTTTCCTGCTCCACAGTCTTGAGAGTATCACTCTGAGCAGAATAGCTCCTCATGCTCCCCACAGTGTGCCCATATCCTTCCTGCTGTTGGGCCACTCATAGTTTGAAGACATGGCTAACCTTTTTTGGTCTTGATGGCTGCCATATTGGTGGGGAATATGATCTTCATTGATTTGAGAAGCTGGTGGTGAAGTGTGGCTTTCCTTGATGGTGTTCAGTCTGCAGAGAGGATGTAAAATTTCTCACTCCCCTGAAGGCAGTATAAGTCCAAGTATAAGGCACAGCAATTCCTCATAGCTCAGTGTGTCTCAGCCAACACTGAGCCTTCCGCAGCAATTCTGGATGTCTCACCTACCTCCTTGCTACCTTCTCCTCAGTTTCATCCGTCCCTTGGTCTTTCAACTGCTTCCTCCCCCAGAGATACCTCCCTCTCCCAGGCTTCACCTGGCAAGGCCTTTGCTCTCAATTTGCCATTGTTTTGTACAGACATGTGCATCTATGTGCAGTCTGGACTGCTGCTATTTCAGTTCTTGGATTGCATTAAGGAACTTAATGCTTCTAGCAACCACTGTGCAGTCAGGAGGGTCCTGCCCATAAGGGTTTGTGTTGTGAGCCCCATGCCTGCTGCAGTGCAGCAGCTGCATGACCTGCATCCCAATCCGAAGCACTGGCTTTACTGAGTGGTGTTGAGGTTGGTGGCCACCTTAATTGATTACCAAATTGTTTAGGCCCCTGAAGATATTCATGCTGTAGTGAATGTGTGTTATTTATTTGCTCTGCAGTAAATAAATACTAGTCTGCCTATTGAACCTGGGAGGGCAAAGGAGATATTTTTCAGCCTGCAGCTGAGAGGGTGAGCTGGTGAATATCCTTCCCCAGAGGCTGAGGCAGGGAGGCAGAGAGCCAGGTTGAATCCCAGGCTCTGCGTCTGCAAAGCAGCAAGCCAGGAGGGAGCTCAAGGGTAGAGAAATGCAATGACTTGACAGCAGATTGAAGGGACAGAGCTATGCCCGAGGATGGCAGGAGCTACAGCTTTTGCTCAATGGGCGTGCTGGGTAAGGGTGACAGGTCATGAGAGATTGGTGGGTTGATTCTCCCCTTCCTGAATACAGTTACAGGATTATGAGTAATGGAGTGAAATTACAGAGGAGAGTCTGTAACTTGAACGTTGCTGGCGGCTTCCTGAAGTTGAGACTGTGCTGAGTGTGGAGGTATCTCCTCAGAGGAAGGAGCAGTGGGAAGAGCCTGTTCCTGGAGGCGTTTGTAGCTGTCACACCCAAAGCTTACTGCCAGGGACAGTCACCCTGGGCTACATTGGTGTGGTTTTCCACTTCTGCCCCTCTACAGCAGAAATGTTGGGGTAGGGCAAAACAAATATTTTAAGGATAGTGAAGCACTCCAGCAGGACAGGGGAGAGGATGGGGCATGCACCATGAAGCAATGGCTGAGCCTTTGCAGCAGCTGTGAACAGCAGAGGCTGGGGGGTGCACAGTGTGTCAGCATCCCTTGTGGCTATCATCATCCCTGCAAGGGCACCTTGCCCCTCTCCTGCCAGGTCAGTATTACATTCAATAACTGTCAACCACCTTCCCTGCTTTGTTTCCTGGAGGATCGTGAAGATGTCTAGCCCTAATCTCAACATTGTGACCCTGCTGGGCAGTGGCTTGACTTACACAAGTGCTTACCTCTTTGGGATTCAGGAGCAGAGCCTGCCATCTGGAGACTCGGTGGAAAAGCTTATTCAGGTGAGCGGGGGATTTGCTGGGATGGGTATCTTCATGCATGCAGGCACACACCTGTTCATACCTGCTCTGTCTTAGCCACAGCCTGTCACCACCTCACTACTGGCTACACTTGGCCAGGCTGTGGTTTTCACATATGCAAAACACAACCAGATGGTTTCTGTCTAAACAGCCTTCACTGTTTGTGCAAACCACATCCGCATGAGGAAGAGACTCTAGGCAGGTCCCTAGGGGAGAGGTCCCACAGGCAGGCAGGCTGCTGGGTTTGTACAAGTGCAGAAGGGAGAGAGGAGCCCAAATGCAGATGGGGATCCTCCATACAGCTGCCACTGCCTGATGTAGCACAGGTGCAGGAAGGTTGCAGGTGAGTTTTTTGGCTGCAGAACAGATCTTCATCACAACACTCACCTGTGTGATGAGCCCTCATGTCCTGACCTGACGCAGCCACCCTACCATACCAAAGACTAGGAATGCATCTCTGTGGGAGAGAGGGATGTGGGAGAGCACACACCCTGCATCCTGCTCAGCTTCTGTGCTCAGGGTAATTAATGGAGGTGCCAGCAAATGATTTATTGGTGCTGGGACCTATCATGCCCCAGCTGCTCACAAGCTGCCTGGCTCTTCCTGACGGCTCCTCTGATAGGAATCTCTAGGGATGGGGAGGAAAAGGCAGGCAGCAGGCATGCCTGCAGAGGAATACATGATTTTTCATTTATTTCACCCCGTGGTCAACTTTCTAGTGTCTGATACAAACCTCTAGAAGCCAGAAGACCACAGACATGTCCCTACCCATCTTTGTTGCATCCCTGGGTGGGAAGGTGTGGGGTGTACCTGCAAACTCCACAGGTTACACTTTCAGCTCTCTCACTCTGACCCCCTGGCAGATGCGGCTCTGTCTGCTGTGTGTGGGGACCTCCCTGGTGTTTGGCCCTGTCCTGGGGAAAAGCTGGCGGCTCTACAAGGTGTTCACCCAGAGGGTGCCAGACAAGCGAGTGGTGAGTACACAGCACCCAAGGTGGGAAGGGAGGGAGGAAAACTTCCCAAGGAGGGCAAACACCAGCAAGTCCCAAACCAGTGTGGGATAGCAGATAAAACTGGCACATGACAGGGATAGATGCCACACCAACAGGTCTAGCCTCACACCTAGTTGGGCATGGGCCCCTCATTTATTCCTGTGCAATGAGGCAGGAGTTTTTCCACTCTACAGGCAAGCATGTGTGCTGTCAGGCTGACTGTTCCTTGGTGGAGTCCTAGCCTCATCATCGAGCAAGGTCATTGGTGTCCATTTGCTCCCCATAGTAACATTTCTTTCTTGTGTGTTTGCAGATCATTAAAGACCTCCAGTTGCTGGCGATGGTGGCAGCGCTGGTGCTGGCAGATGCTGTGTTGCTCCTGACGTGGGTGTTCTCTGATCCAGTCCAGTGCTTCCGAAGCCTCAGCGTCTCCCTGCGGGTAAAGGGATGAGGAGGGGCAGTGGAGGGTTTTGCCGTGTCCTGTTTGAACTCTGTGGACATAGTTAGTGGATGGCCAGGCATTTGGAGGTGCTGTCTAAAAAAAGAGGTAGAAAGAAAAACAAGTCAGAAAAGCTTCTGGGCACTCTGGATTGGGTTTTTTTCTGGCCTATTACAGAGTTGATAGCCCATTTCAGAATTTCCAGGTCTGTGCAGGTCGCCTGGGTGACACAGGAGAGGTCCATGACATCTGCAGATGCTTTAGAGAAATGTTTAACCAGCCCTTTTGGCAGCAGAATGCCAAAATCTTCCTCACTTTAACCCTCTGCCCCTGCACCAGCTTTGACCTCTCCTTTTAGACATGTACAAAGGAGAGCAGCTCAGATGTGTCTTCCCATCGGTCCGTGCCAGGGCTGCAGCCTTCACTTTTGCCTTCCCCTTGCCTTCTAGGCGACAGAGAAAGGCATGACCTGCTCAGTGAGCCGGGTGCAGTCCTGTGCATCACTCTATTCCGATCTTTGGCTCATTCTCATTTTAGGCTTTAAGGTATGTAACTTCTTGATTGATTCTTGCATTGTATCTTGCCTCCTCCCCGTTTTACAGCCTAAACTGTTTAGCAGCATCCATAGTTTTGATGCCCTCCCAAGCTCTACCTGCCTATTGCTGATTTCAGCTACTCCTGTTCACCTCGAGAGCCCTCCTACTTCCAGCCCTTCCCATCCTGGGAAGGGTAAAAGCCCTGTTAGCCACTTTTCCCCATCTCCTTTATGTACACTGTGTACATACAGTCTTTCTAGTCCTCTCCCTGCAACCCCCTGTGCTTCATCTATCTCACTTCTTAAAACTCTTAAAACTCTTGTCTTGCTGTTCTCTGAAGCACA